CATAGACTAACTGAGATACTCCTAACGTTTTAGCTAATAATGATCTTCCATATAGCGTCAAATCCCTGGAAAGCCATAGATTTAATTTGGTTTTCATCTTTCGAATCCTGCTAAGAAAGTTCTCTTCGATGTTTTTATTTTGATTGTACGATAGAAACGTGCCTAGAACTTTAATAGGGCTCTTTGTGCTTTTGAATTCTAATATATTCAACGTACTGTGTTTCATTGTACCCAGCCACATTGCTTTAGTCGTTTTCTTATTTAACTTTAAGCCTGAGACGGTGCCGAATACTTCAATTGTTTGGAGATGTGATTTAAGAGAGTCCGTGTTGTTAGTTATTGTGGTTGTATCGTCTGCAAATAGAGAAATTTTTACTTCTTGGTTGTTCGGTAAATAATTATAGGCCCTCGCAGTTCCTGTTTTGGCGTATCTTAAGGGCTAACAACTCGCCTGCAAGAATAAATAAAGAGGGGCTAAGTGGACAGCCTTGGCGAACTCCTTGTTATTTCGAAATAGTTTGTCATAAATCCGCCATTTACAACGGAGCTCTGTATACCATTGTATAACACAGTAAACCATTTTTTAAACTTATTTCCAAAATTAAAAACTTCTAAGGTTTTTGATATGAAATAGGGATGGAACATGGTAATGTATTTGCATTTAGGAGTTATCTGAGCTGTCTTGTCAGTGAAGCTGGCTTTACTGGGTGAGGTACTCAACAGCTGTTACTCATCAAGTTCCTGATGACATTTGTCTTTTTCTGGGAACAGGATCTTAAGACCATGGAGCAACAAAAGAAGACAATAGAGAAGGAACATCTTAGCAGTGTTGAAAAACTTAAGGAAAGAGAAGAAGAAATTAGACAACTTCACAAGGTACATGTACATGTAAGGATGAATATGGTCTCAACAGTTTTAGAATTGTAGTCCTCATCCTCTGTGTTTCTTAATTATGACAAATTTCCTTGAGTTCCAAACCAAAGGTGTACTTTTGAAAGACACTCCCTTCTCATGAGATGTCAACAACTACCAGCACCATACAAGTGACTGTATTTGCAACAGTAACAAAACAATTAAAGCAAAATAGGACAAACTAACTTTACTGATAGATCAAAACTGAGCAGTCATGTCCAACATTTGCTACTTTAGTTTTGAAGCTAGTGTAAAAAAACTGACCAACCAGTTCATACAGGCCTGACTCTTTCCATTCAACTGACAAACAACTTTGTGTTTGACTCTGATGCTGACTAATGCCCAGGTTATCAAAAGCATCAGTAACTTTTATGGACAACAGTCCTTTACTGGTCTACTCTCACCCAGATAAGTAGACTACATGATCAGCAGTAATACTGCTCATAGCACAATGTACCTCATTTCTGTACCAAATCTTTTTTTGCATACTATTTGAAATGTAAATGTAGCAGTAACTGTTTGAAGTAAAGTACAAAGTTATGGTCTGTTCTCATAAATTCTAGTTGTTAAGTAAATTTACATGCTCAATGCAAAGTTGGCATATAGCGTGTTCATGTTGTGTACATGTAGCTAAGAAAACTGGAGAATGGGGGAAACCCTCAAACTTAAATTAGAACTTAATATACATCCTATTTTTTAATACAGATCCAGGAGGAAGCCAACCGAGCTCATGAGATGGCTGTGACATCACTAGAAGATACTGTGTGTAGTTTGGAACAGAAGTGTATTGAGGCTGAAAAGAACAATATTAACCTCAAAAAAGAGATGGAGGAATTGAAACAGATGGAAAGAAACAGTAATAGAAGAAAAGAAGAAATTTGTCACCGATCAACTCAGACTACACTTGAAACAGTAAACAAAGAAATTCCAGCTGTTGTGGAAGTTAAAGGTAAAAGATCAACAGAATGGCTTAACTTTTAGAGGTTGGTCTTTAAGAGTGCTGTGTCCTTCCCCTAACATAATTCAATTGTACAAAACCACAGGCATTGCAATCAAAGGTCAGCCTTCACTTGAAGAAAGTCCACAACCACTTTGCAAACTTACTAGTGATGCTACAGATGTACTGTCATCTCAGATCATGCCAACCAAGTCTGCTACTTATGAAGCAAAGGTAGGTTCTCCCCACATCAACTCTAGCAAGCCACAACCTGTAGGAAGAGAAGAGGCAAGCACTAAAGGTTCTGCAGCTCCAGCATCAGAGGATATATTAGAGTCACTGGCTTCAAGAATTAATCAGCTAGCAGCATCTGATAGTGAAGATGATCCAATCAGCGGTATGTCATTTTGATTTAAGCATGATTCGCATTGTGTTTTCAAAATGCCTGTTGTCAGCCTTGTTTCTGACTTCCTGCTAATGGAGGGGAAAATGAAGAGTGTTTTGGTATGTCGAAATTCAGCCATTGAGAAGGGCTCACCATCAACCTTGTGTACAAAGATGGTTGTAGACTACTGATCAGTGATTAAGTTTAGTGCATTCAACCAATTATTTACAATTTGCATGATGTTGTGTTGCTCCTTTTAAACACAGGTTAAGCAAGGAGTCATTGTATTTTTTTAATTCCATTTTTTTTTTGTTAGAAAAAGCATACGAGGATCTAAGGGATGACCAGGAAAAAGATGAGAAACCAGAAAGACCAGAGGTGGATTTTGATGACTTGCATTGGCGCATTGATCAAGCAGAAGCAGGTGAAGATACCAGCAGCTCCATCAGTACAAGGGAAAGAGCCTGCAGCGAGGCCAGTCAAGATATGGCCAGCATGGCTGAAGGAGACCTAGGTGACTTGGAGGATAATCAGCCAGACAGCTCTGCTCCTGAAGATGAACAGCCCGAGCACTCTGCACTGCAACCTATTGGTGAGTTTGGGTGCAAACCATTTTTATTCACAAGTTACAAAGCATCAAAAAACTTTACTCATTCGCTGCACTCACTCGTTCATTTTTTGAGTGATTAGGAATGATTGAAGCACTTTCCACAGTTTGACGTTTTTATTTCATACATACTGAGATTTTTCCTTACTGACCAACACATTTCAAAGATTGAAAGCAAACGACTGTGAAAATCCAACGATTGTCCAATCAGAGACACGAACGATAGTACTTCACAGTGTAAATCTCAGTATGTTCATGTATGAAATATCCTTTATACTTGCTGGTTTCTTTTTAAGTAAGGAAAGATCTGTCTCCTTTTTAAGACAATCACTACTTGCCCATAAGCCATGTCAGGATTGATTTTTAGCTTTTGGCCAAAACAAGAACAGTACAGTGGGAGGAGTGGGCTCTGGAGAGCAGGAATGGCGTAGTAGTGAGAGCACTCACCACCCATCAATTCTTCAGTTCGATTTCCAGATCCTGGCTTCACATATGGGTTGTGGTTGTTGTTTGTTTGTTTGTTGCTTGCTCCAATGGGTTTTTCTCCAGGTCCTCCAGTTTCCTCTCCACAAAAAGCAACATTCTAAATTCCAACTTGACCTGGAAACAGTAGACAGGAAGAGCCAGCTCACAGAATGTCTACTGTTAAATTCTATTGTTATTAGTACTACTGTTATTATTACAACTACCTTGTATTATTAATGTTACTATTATTATTATTATTATTATTATTATTATTATCATTAGCATTATTAGGACTATATTTGTAATGTACGGATGACAATCAATTTGATTACCATCAGGTAAACTGAATGTGCATAATGCCAAGCCAGCAAGCAGTGAGGACATTACAACAGATACCAACAATAGATTCAATGCTGAAGAGGAGGTACTGGACACGAAATACCTTGAAGGAGACAACAGTGATGCAGATCCAGCTATACAAGAGAAACTTGCTGTCTATATAGCAAGGTACAGTTATGACCCTCAGCAATACTCGCCAAATGAGAATCCTGATATGGAGCTGGCATTCCAGGCTGGAGATTATTTGTATGTCTTTGGCGAGATGGATGAGGTAAGGGAATACATGTCATGAACTGCGTGCACCTTTGAACTTTGAAGCATGAGAGGTGCCAGGCCTTTTGGTGAAATATAGATAAAGTTGGCGCACAACCTATGGACCAATCTTGCTGGAGCTTATCCAGGTGTATGCAGCACGAAGTGTGGATTATAGATTTTCAACCTTGGATGGGATGCTTGTCAATCGCAGGATAACCTAGACTGCGAGCAGGCCCTTATTGTTACCGCGGCTGAACGCGCATTTCGCCGCCCGCGGGAAGAGTTGGGACGAGTCGGGGATAGGTTTACCCGGGGGATCTGGGTTTATCAGTGGCAGACCCCTTGCAGACTTGTCGCCAGCTTTCGATTTGGAATATAGAAAGTAAAATCTTTTCCAATGGTTATTTTTTTTTCTGAATAATAGGATGGGTACTTTTTGGGTGAATTGATGAATGGCCAGAGAGGATTTGTACCTTCCAACTTTGTGGAGAAAGTCGCAGGTAAGAGCAGCTTAATTAAGAGTATCAATTAATCAAGTTGTTCAGAAATTACTGGGCCTAGCTGGGCTGTTCGAAGGTCGATTAGTATTAACCCGAGGTTAAATTAATCTGAGTTTCATTTCCTTTTATTCGAAAGCATTTTCTCGGTTAATATTCTCTATTAGTATATACTAAAACAGTGGA